AGAGATAGGGTACAGATTGACTTAGACAAATTGGAGGATTGGGCCACTAGAAATCTGATGAGGTTGATCAAGGACAAGTGTAGAGTCCTGCACTTGGGACGGAAGACTCCCAAGCATTGTTACAAGCTGGAGACCAACCGGTTAAGTAGTAGTTCTGCAGAAAAGGACCTGGGGGTTACAGTGGATGAGAAGCTAGATATGAGTCAACAGTGTGCCCTTGTAGCCAAGAAGGCTAATGGCATATTAGGTTGCATTAAGAGGAGCATTGCCAGCAGATCCAGAGATGTCATCATTCCCCTTTATTCAGCTTTGGTGAGGCCGCATCTGGAGTATTGTGTCCAGTTCTGGGCCCCCCACTATAAAAAGGATGTGGATGCACTGGAGAGGGTCCAGCGGAGGGCAACCAAACTGATTAGGGGGCTGGAGCATATGACTTATGAGGAGAGGCTGAGGGACTTGGGTCTGCAGAAGCAAAGAGTGAGGGGGATTTGATAGCAGCCTTCAACTTCCTGAAGGGAGGTTCCAAAGAGGATGGAGAAAGGCTGTTCTCAGTAGTGACAGGTGGCAGAACAAGGAGCGATGGTCTCAAGTTGTGGTGGGAGAGATCCAGGTTGGATATTAGGAAAAACTATTTCACCAGGAGGGTGGTGAAGCACTGGAATGGGTTACCTAGGGAAGTAGTGGAGTCTCCATCCCTAGAGGTGTTTAAGTCTCGGCTTGACAAAGCCCTGGCTGGGTTGATTTAGTTGGGATTGGGTCCTGCCTAAAGCAGGGGGCTGGACTTGATGACCCTCTGAGGTCTCTTCCAGTTCTATGATTCTATAAAGCCCGCACCCCCACCGAGAGCCCTCATCCCCCCCAACTGAGCCCCTCCCAACACTGTGAATCACTTGTGTTTTATTCACACCATTGTCTGTGATCCCTCCAAAGTCTCCTCATTGCTGCTGTACAAGTAGGCTTGGCTAGCTTAGATTGTCCTTGATAAATGGGGGTTTCCCTGCCCCCACCGCACCCCCATGCAGGATAATCACAAGTTACAGGCAGGCAAGTCAGAAACATTGTCAAAGTCCAGGGACTTAGACTTTGGAGTGAGACTTGTTACAAGCAGACTGGCCCCGAACAGTCATACAGGTATAATGGGTGGTTTAAGGTATTCACTTTGGGTGTGTCTACGCTGCACCCTTAGCTCGAAATAAGCTATGCAATCTGAGCGATGCAAATCGCATAGCTTATTTTGAGTTAATTTCCAAATCGAGCACTATTCCCTAATGTCCCTTAACCCTCGGGGAAGCAGGTTTACAGGAACGTGGGAATAGCATACCTGTTATGTTGAAAGCTAATTTGAAATAACGGGCGTGCTCTGAAGACTCAGAAAACGCTATTTCAGGATACTAGGAGTATCCAAAATAGCACCGCTATCTAGACCTGCCCTGGGAACGTTTGGACTTGTAACGGTGACTGTTTGTATTTTAACTCTTTATAAAGCTGGAACTCTCATTCTCAGGGGCTACTGTCCTTGTGCCATCACCGGACTCCCCCACCGCAATTCCTGCAATGACGATAACAAAAATGGTGACCCCCCCTCCCCCCCAAAATCTCATGCAACCATGAAAATGTAAAGCAGTACAAATTAGAATAAAAAAAGCAAATAAGAAACTTATCTTCGGCATCAACATTATAAAACTAGGCAATTAGCCTGTCATAAGACGGGATTTTCAGGTCTCTCCTCCACGTCGGTCTTCTCTCCTGAGCCTCCGGTCTCTCACTCCGTCTCTCTCCTCCTCCTCCTCCCTTCCCCTCTCTCTCTCAGCTCTCCTCTGCCTTCTGCCTCTCTCTCCCTCTTCTCCTCCTCCTGCTCTCACTCTCTCCGCTCCATCTCTCTCTTCGCCCTCTCCTGACTCTCACTCTCTCTCCGCTCTCCTCTGTCTCCATCAAGGATGCACGCTCGTACAGGCCCCGCCCACGCCCCCAGGGCATGTACCTCACCTTCCTGCCCCCCTGTGCCTCCTGCCATAGCGCTTGGCTGACTTCTGTGCCACTCAGCTGGACCACCACGCAGGAGCAAGCAGCCTCTCTCTCTTCTCCTACTTCCTCGTCCTCTCTCAGCTCCTGTCCCCCCCCTGCCTCTCTCTCCTTCTATTTCCCCCCCCCCACCCCTCACTCTGTGTTTCTCTTCTCCTCCTCCTGCTGCGTCTCTCTCATTCTCTCTCTTGCTGTCCTCCGCCGCCTCCGTTCTCCTCTGTCTTCTCCACGCCTGCTCCACTTTCCTCCTTTTGAAGCCGGCGCCCTTTCCTGATGTTCTGACGCATGCTCGTCCAGGCCCCGCCCCCGGCTGTTCCCTCTGGGTGGCGCTGTTGCCTCCCGCCGTGGTGCTTGGCTGACTTCTGCGCTGCTCAGCTAGGCCGCCGCGCAGGAGCAAATAGCACCTCCGTGCTGCATGAGGAGCATGGACCCCAAACAGCTGCTTGCTCCCGCAGTGGCCCAGCTGACCAGCGCAGAAGTCAGCTGAGTGCCACGGCAGGAGGCAACAGCGCCCCCCAGAGGAACAGCCAGCATTACAGAGTCACAGACACTGGGCTACTATGTATATGATAATCTCCCAGGGCCACCAGAATCCCATTCTTACTGTGATCATTCTGGCAAGGTCGTAAGAGTTTCAAAACATTTTTATGGGCTTAAGTTTTCACAGTGGCACAAAATTCAGGGGTTTAAGCCCCTCCTCTCTTTCTATCATTTTAAATGGTCACTGTTGGGAGAAAGCGGGGGGATCCCAAAGTGGGGTGTCAGACCATTGTTTAACAACAGTGCCAGCAAGATGCAAATGGCTACTGCTTTACTCCCATTTCCCCCCCACACTCCACCCCCCGGCCACAAAACTCCCATAAATCTCCATTTGAGCCACTTCTCATCAAGAATGGAGACAGTCAGGCACCAGGTGGGGTGAAACCCACATTTATGGATCCCCACCTAACTCCTGCCACTCCATATCCAGCACTACGGCCTGCCCAGATCCAGGCCCAGCGTGACATCGCTTCTCCGTGGCCACCCACAACTTTCTACCCTCACATGCTCCTCGTTCTGCGGCTGCACCCAGGGCTCCAAGGAGCTCTCAGTGATCATTCCCTTCCTGTCCATTCAGGTCAGGCACGAGAGGACCCGAGTGTCCGTCAACCTCCTTCCCGAGCACATGACCCTACATACCACTGTGCTGGAGAACAGGGCCGGTGCTCAAGAGTAGCCCAGCCCCCAAGGCCTCTCCCCACTCAGCTGTCCCACGGCCCACAGCAGAGCCCGCTGATCTCTGCTCTCCTCTCCCTCCCACCCCCTGCTCCCAGTGCAGGCCACAGGGAAGCAGAGCTGCAAGGGGTGCTGTGCTGCAGGGGATTGTGTGGATGGTGCTGTACATGGGTCCCAGGTGCTTTTCATAAGAGGCTAGATGGGAGGATCCTTCAACATCACAAGCAACCCAGGGCTCCTTCCTGGCTCCTGCTGTTTAAATGGTAGGGAGAGCGCATAGCTCCCTTTGGAGTGTCACTGCGTGGCTGTTCCCAGCCGCCCCGCCCCAGAGGTGGCTATGTCCCAGCACTCCCTGCCCTCATCCCTGGCTGTATGACCGTGCTGCCAGTTCTCACCCAGGTGAAGTTCTAGGGCACATCTGTGCTCTCCACCGCCCCGTAAAGGCAGGAGCTGTGGCCATTGGGGGAGAACCCCTTCATCACATGCCATCTTCCCCCACCTCAGGTGACTTGAATCACTGCAGGCAGCATCCTTGCCCACCCTTGTGCTCACTGCTGCTCTGCGCCCCTACAAATTCCCCCAGGAACTCACCCAACCAGTGCTCCCCCACAGCCGCAGAGCCAGCGGGACAGGGTGAAACAAACTTTATTGATTCTCACGGAGCAGGGGGCAGCCAGCAAGGGATGAGCTCCGGCAGGAGGGGCAGGGATGAGACCCCCGCTGATCCAAGCTGGAGGGGGCCCCCTGGCTGCCCTCTGAGTGTGCCTGGCGCCATCAGGGGATGCCCAGGGGGATGGTGAAGGACAGGTAGTCACCCAGCTCACCCCATCGGGCCCGGTGTGTCTGGAAGATGGTGACCCATGTGGTCAGCACGACCACCCAGAACAGCAGCCCCACAGCCGAGCGCTGGACGTCTGAAAAAGAGACAGGGCTCAGTGCCATGCCCATTGTGCCTTGGCCCTGCCCCCGTGGCCCCTCCATCCCTTCCCTCCTCTGGACCCTGCCCCCGGGGTCCCTCCCGCCCACCTCACCCTGGGCCCTGCCCTGATGGTCCCTCCCGTGTATTTTTCCTTCAATCCCCCTGGGCCCTGCCTCAGTAACTCCTCTCACTTGAGTCCCCAGGGCCCTGCCCCCAGCTAAGCTCCCAGGGCCCTCTCCCAGCCCCATGAATTACCTTCCATGCCCTAGACCCTGCTCACTAGCTGCACCTCTGATTCCCGCTCCTGCCCCCTCCAGGTACCATCTGCCATGCCCCAGGTCCCTGCCCACTGCAGCACTTCACCACCCACCACCCAGCAGACTCTGCCCCACTCACAGCTTTTGATCTGCGGCTGCTCAGTGTAGGCAGGCGCCAGGAAGGCCTCGCGGCAGAACCACAGCACATTGACCAGCCAGAGGAAGGGAAGGAGGGCGAAGCCACCTGGGGGGAGGGCAGCAGAGACGGGTCAAGCCCCGGGGAGAGACCGGGACATGGCTACTGGGAAGCTCGCAGCTTCTCTCTGACCTCCCAGCCTGGAGCTTCCTCCCCATGCTCCCTCTTCTCCATGCCCCCCAGACTGGTAGCTCCACTCTCCCCATGCCAGGGCACCTCCCCACTTTTCCACTCCTACAGCCTCACACCCTCTTCTCTCTCCTCGCCCCCAGGCACCCACCATGCCCATAAGAACGGCCAGACAGGGTCAGACCAAAGGTCCATCCAGCCCAGTGTCCCAACTGCCAACAGTGGCCAGTGCCAGCTGCCCCAGAGGCAGCTAACAGAGCAAGGAATCGTGACGTGATCCCTCCCGTCACCAATTCCCAGCACTCTCCTCACCCAGCCTGGCTACTAGCCGTTGATGGGCCAGTCCTCCATGAACGTAGCTGGGACCCATTAATGTCCTGGTCATCACAACTGCCCCCCCACCTCCCACCGCA